TCATGCTTTGCCTCAGAGTGCTGACAGCTCAGACCGGGTTGTTGGTCTCTATGCTGTGCTCCCCAGGCTTCGCCTCCAGACTGGGTGGCTCCTCTGCACTTCTGAGCTTCGTACCCATGTGCGGGGTGGCCAGCGCCCAGGCTTCATACCCACAGGTAGTGAAAGGCACGTGCAGAGCTGGCTGCCAAGACCCACTCATGGTCCCAAGACTCACAGGTGCCCTCTGGCAGAACAACCACCACTTCTGATACCTTCTTCCAGAATGGGATCTGCTGTACCTGCCAGCCAAACTCAGAGAAAAGGCATCTCTAGGCTCTTTAGGAAAAGCACAGAAGAGCTGTCAGTCCATCACCGGAAACAGGTTATAAGAAGCAGAGGTGAAAAGCTGCCAGTATTGACATTTTTCTGTATTTGCTACTTTATACGGCTGCAAGCATGAGAAAGGAAGAATGCTGAGCTCGAAGCGAAACCAGAGCGTTATAACATTCTCTTTGAAGATATGTTTGTGTTATTCTATAGAAGCTCTTGCTTGGTTTACCTTTTAGGGTTTATATTTTTCTAAAGCTTGTATTAAAGTCTCATTCTTTTCCTTTTCCTTTTCTTTTTTAAAGAAGCCAACCAACCAGCTCATCAAAAGAAGACACTGGAAAAGTTAAATTCCCCTGTAGAGTTTTCACTGTTCAAAGCTCTAAATACTGCTGAGAACCACAGAAACCAGCATTACAATACATCATTTTAAACAAGATCTTTGCATCAAGGGATTCTGCAAACAGAGCGGCAGATAATACAGGATATATTTTGCCTGTTTCCTTATCAAATAGCAAAGATAAAGCCTGATTCTGTAACATAAGCTACACCAGCTAGGAGAGTACTGTCTCTGTTAACTTTAAATTGACATTTGCCTTATCACATTAATGTTATTTCATCACTGTCACAAATTTTAAGAATAGGGAAATATTCTATGTTATCATGTTAAAATCTATATCAGTATTCTAAGTAGCACATGGTGGCCTATGAGCCCATCAGCTGAACGACCTGTCATTTTTATGTAATTTTTATTTACTTAAATAATTCTTGCTTGAGTAATCCTTTTGTGTGTGTGTATGTGGCAAAGGTCAGGTAGGAAGAGCCCTTCTGCTGGGGTTTTCAAGTAGCAAAGTTATTTAGTCCTGGTGATGGACTAAAGTAAGTACTTACAAAAAGTCTGAGCCCTTTGAGCTAATAGACACTATGCAGTTTGAAACCTTACCTCCAGATCTTGTTAGGAGCTGCCACTTTATCTTACCACCAAAAGCAATATGGTGGGGAATGATTGTGTGGCAACGGATACAAATTAGCTGACTGAAATAGCACAGTTTCTTGAAATGGAGTCTTGCTGCGTGTCAGCCCTTAAAAGTTTTTTGTCTCTGTAGATGTACAAGTAGAAAAACTAGCTGTTTGAGAGGCCCGTATCATTCAGTGTCTGTATATGAATTGCATGAAATTATAGGATGATATATGCAGCAGCTAGCTCTTTACCAAGAAAAGATAAAAGTGATCTTGCTTGTTAGAAAAATATTCCTCCTGAAGACATGGCATTTCTGTAAAGTTACAGGGCTTGGGCTTACTTAGGAGGACTGGTTTCAGGTGGCAATCAAGTGCAAGTTTTAAGCTGTAAAGTAGTACTACTGTAATGTCAAAAAGAGCTGAAGATGCTATGATGTATGTGAGAGACATGGTTAACCCGTAAAATTCAGATACTGTAGTGCAGAAAGAAAAACTAGATCAGGAAAAGCTTGAAAAAAAAATGCATGTGTAAAGGTGAAAATGTATCTGTAGAAAGTATATACATGTTTTGCTATGTTTCTAAATCTTCCCCTTATCTTGTCACTGCAATTAGCATCTTACTTTGCCATGCCATGTTAGAAAG